ATTATATATTTTATATATATATACACACACCTCCTTAGTGAATCAGCAACGTAACCATGCCTAGTTTAAACTCAGTATTAAGATTCTAAAGCCTGGTTCAAGAACCAGATGGGTACTGGAGTGTTTCTGAATCCAGGAGAGGTCCTAAAAATTGGAGAGGAGGGAATGAACTCTGCAAAATGTGCCACACTCCCAGACAGCCAGGGCTGTGGCTGTGGACCAGAGCGGGCAAAGAAGAGGCTGTGCCCTGAACCTGTGAGCAGAAATCTCACCTCACAGGTATTTACACATCAAATTTTTGGGCAGAAGCACTACTGTTTTCCAAATCTGGCCTGCTTTCATCTTCAAAACTTGCTTGCCAGAGTAAATTAGGTTTTTGAAGGCTGTTGACCCTCAGCATCTCTCTTGCTGTCCTTGCTCCTGAATGCCAGCTGCATTAGGTATTACAGAAGTCCTCTTTGTTAAAAAAAAATCCACTCTAACTCTCAAGTTTTGTGATCTCTACTGGGTCCTTGCATTTAGCACAAGAGCAAACAAAAAACCAACAGTCTGATGGTGGATAAACCCTCAAGAGTTGACCAGTTCTACACACACTGCTGACCATAGAATAAAATAAGATAAAACATAAAACATTGATATGATTAATGTAATGTAATGTAATGTAATATAATATAAATAAAATACTGCCTAGCTACTTCTTCTCTTACCTGCTTTTCTTATCACACAAGAAGTAGATGCTGAGCCCGCGGAGTTCGTGGCCACACAGGTGTAAATACCAAAATCATCAGCATTGACAGAGAGAATAGTTAAGAGTTGGAAGTTTTTGAGCGTGGCCGAGATGAGGATCCGACTGCTGCTGTGAACAGGTATCCCATCTGAAAGGCAGGAGGTAGGAGAGATAAATACCCTGCAAATTCATACCGAGGTGTCGAAAAGAAGGATGCCAACATCACCTCTGAACCAGTTGACGTGCAGGGAGGACTGGGCTGCTGTCCGGCACGACAGCGTCACGCACTGTCCAACGGCAGCAGCCTGGTCGATGAGCTCCTCCGTGAACGAAGGTGCTGCAAAGAGGAGGAAAAGCAGCAATTTAGAGTGGCCAGGAGGGCTGTGTAGAAAATAAGTGAATGCAAGACATCAAGAAAGCACTTTTATTTGGTTCAAGGACATTTCTGGTTCATGCTCAGGCCTCCCTTTGGCCATCGGTTGGAAAATCCCCTGGGCACACAGGTGCAGAAGCTCCATTCAGCCCCATGGATGCAGTGTATCTGCTCATACAGGATGGACCTTGGAAGATCCATGGGGAACACCTGCATTGCCCACTTTCTGGTACAGTTAAGGCAGCAGAAGAGCTTGGAGGAGAGGGAGCATGTCACCACACGAGTTTTCTTCTGCCCTAGCTTAAATGTGGGGTCAAAACTAAATGATGATATTTTGAGGATGAGGGGATCAGATCAAGACAACAAGAAGAGATAAAAAAATGGATACAGAAGGAGGAAAAATTCCCATAGAGCATCAAATCTGCTGCTGTCCCAATGGGAAAGGGGGAGCTCAGGTTTTCTTCTGCATTTCTCCAGGGTTTTTGCTCTGCAGTGCCCAGGAGCTGCCCACCTGCCCTTCCCAGTGCTTGGCTGGGCCCTGCAGCATACTGGGGCATTAACCTGACCTCAGAAAATGCTCCCACTACAGCCAGGGGGAAGTTTGCCTGGGCAAGAGCAAGTTCAGCTTTGCTGACATGCCAGTTGATGACTTTTTAATTTCATAGCTCTGTAACAGCGTGTCTGACCCTTACACATGCACGCAGCACCAGAGCATAGGAATTCACAGTTCCCTGCTTCTGCCATCCCACCCTTGGATATTCCATTTATTTTCTTTCTAGCTCACACACACATTTATTCCTCTGCAGCAGCTTCCTAGAATGGCTCCAATTTGCAAGCAGTGCCAAGGCAAGAGGGTTTTAGCGAGGACGTAGTTACGATGCAAACAGAGGAGGCTGGCCCATACCGCATGGTCCAGTTCATCTCAAGACAATCATTGCAGACCCATCCTTAGAAACTGGCCTCACACAACACTGCCATGTTCATTAGTGATACTATGTGATAAAGCTAATTGATGACTTATGCCATAGCAATACCTTTCTCCTTTGACGTGAGGCTTGGTAACTTGAATGAAGAGAGTGCCGATTTCCTCTTCAGGGATCCTTCAGCCCCTGTTAACAGCTCTTTTTCTACCGCCTCTCTTCCCAGCTCCCCAAATTCTGTTTTGACAAAGGATGAGAAGTCATTCAAGGCCACCCTTCTCCCTGTGACATCCATTTACAGCAGACAGTTCTGTTGTTCACGCTTAAATAGCTCAGCCATTACAGTTTTCCTTATTAATGAGCCTTCAGTCAACAGGGAAGGCTGTGACAGCTATGGCAAACAGAATGAAGAACAGGATGTATCTAAGGATGGCAGAGAAGAAGGGACAGACTCTTTTGTCCAGTGTCATCAACTTGGGTAGCCAGGCTGACCTCACCAACTTCTCCCCATCCCTTTAGCTTTAAAGACTGACCATGGTCAGATGATAACTGCAGAAGAAACTGCAAGCGTCATCCAGCCCTGGTCTGCTTTTGTGCAAACCCAGACTGGGGAATTTAAGCCAATTCCATCAGCAGATTAACCCTGCTGACTCTGCACTGCAGTGAGCCCATAACAGAGCCAGTGCTGATTTCATAACTGCCACTTCTGCATTGATGATCTAACCACAGCCTCAGATATGTAGGGGGAAAAAGAAAAGGCAGATTTAGTAGAGCCCAGTGATAGCAGCAAATCTATGAAGGCATAGAGTAAAACATTTACCTTCCTCTGCCTCTGGCTCAGGTGATGTCTTTCCTTTTAGGATTCTTGAAATATGGGCAACAGAAGCTTTTACTTTCTTCTTCAGACTCTGCTCCACTGAGTGCTCCACTGAATGAGACCTTGCATATGGCTTGAAGAGTCCTGTCTTGTTGTAGAAGGAGCTTTTCTGCTTACCACTTGAGTCCTTTTGGGGGCCATACATTTCTTTATGACCCTCAGACCCCTTCCCCATGGCTAATAAGTTTGTTGCTTTTGAATTCTCAGATATTTGCAAATGGTTCTTCCTGTTCTTGTCCTCTGCCTCCTCCCTGATGCACAGTCTTTTATCCTTATGCAAATGTCCTGCAGGAGGTGACCTTGCCCTTTCACCAAAAGGTATAAACCGCCTACCAGTCGGTTTGGGTTGTGGCTTCCTGTAGTTCAGAAATTCAAATGGAAAATAGACAATGTCATACAAGTCAGAGAAATTCAGATAGGCGGGCTCTACCTCTGATATGTCAAATTTTTGGGGCCCGGTGCCAAGACTGGGTGTTTCATCTGACAAGTCTTTGATTTTCACTAAAGAAACTTCCGGGTGTTTACCGGTGTCCTTGCTCACTGACACCTGGCTGGGTCTTTTTCCAGTGTCCAAGCTATCTGTTGAGGAAAAGCTTGCTTGGCTAGAAGGGGCAGTCTCAAATGCCAAGTCCTCGAGATCCTCACATTCACAAGGAACTGTCTGTGCTCCCTGCCCTTCCAGTACCACTGCTTCCTCATTTATGGCAGGGTAGGGTCCTGCAAGGTAATCCAGCTCAGAGACTTCTCTTTCACTCCCTTGGACAGAATGGAAGGAGGTGTCCGTGGCTTGGCTACCTGGGCCTTTGTAGGACATCTCTGTGAGAGGAGAGACTCTCTTTCTGCATTCCTCCTCACCAGAAACTGACTCTGCCCAAACATTCATCTCTTCAGAGAGAGAAACCATCTCATCCACTAAGCCCTCCAGCACAGCTGACTCCTCATCACTGTAGAAAGAAGACCTGTGATGTGAGAGCTCCTGCCTTTGATCCCTGAGGAGCGATGGTGGGACAGTTCTTCCAGCATCACAACTTCCACTTTCTAAGGTAATGCCTCTACCTTCACCATAAACCTCTGGATGTTCATCATATTCTATCTCATAGACTGACGCTGGAGCAACATCTGGTTGTGAAGCACTTAAGACATCTGGAGCAGAAACTCTGCCACTGGGACAGGCAGCCTTGTGTTGCTCCAACGCCTGATGTCCAGCCTTGGGGAAAGGAGCAGTTGCAGAGTGCCCAGCTGCTGGGCTACCACTCGCTGTCACCACAGATCTCACCTCCCTGTGAAGTGATGCCTTTGGATGTTCTTGCTTTTCACTCACACAGACCAAAGGCAGGCCAGTCTTTTGGGAGGACACAGTTCTAGCTGGGTGTCTGCTCCCCAGAGCAGCAGGTACCGTGACACTGCCTTCAGAAGCCTTCTGGGGTTCAGCTCCCTCAATTTCAAAGTCATGGTCCAAACTGGGAACAATCTCTGTGGTAGCTGAACCTTCACTCCTCAGAGGAGCAATCCTCTCCTTGCTATGAGCCAGCCATCCCCTCTCAGCCTGCTGTGCTCTGCTGGAGTCTGAAGTCGACATTGATTTTGGTGGTGGGACTTTCAGAACAGCGGGACGCTCTCCCTGCAGTATGGCTGACGCTGTGTCTACATGAACAGGAGCCCTCTTGTGCACTTGGCTTTCACCATCACTGGCTGGCAGTGCAGTTGTTTCTGCAATACCTGGTCCTTCGTCCTCCAGGACAGCAGATCTCACCTCTTTATAGGTCTTCAGCTTCTGATGAGCACCTTCATCAGCTGCTTGCAGAGCACTTAGGGTACCTGGCCTTTTGCCCTCCAAGGCAGTGGTTGCTGGGACTCTTTGATCAGGAAGCTCCTGACTTTTGTCTTTACGTACTGGAAATGAATCGGTTTCTGTCTGTGGAGATGTTAAACCCACAGACCTTTCATTCTCCGTGAAATCAGATTTGGCAGCACTATAAGCAGAAGGTTCCTCGTGTGATTGTTTCTGCCTTTTGTCTTTCCAAGGTGGAAGTGGGGCTGACCTTTTGATAAGGAAACTTCCGCCTTTTATATCTGGATGGATATCGGTGCTATGAGCAGATTCCTGGGGCAGATACACACCTTCCTTACTTGTAGGGGCTGGTTTGGAGGTGGTCTCTAACTGCATGGGGGTTGAGATGGACTGTTTGCCCTCCTGAAAAACAGTTCCAGGGGGAGATTTAGCCTCCAGGCTTTCATGTTTTTGAGCTGATGATGCAGTTATGTCTGAGCACTGGGCACTTAAAATGGGGCTTTTGCTTCCCAGATCTTCAACGTCCTCCTCCATGTACATAGCTTTTGACTTCTTCAGTAAATGCTTCCTGTGAGGTGACACTGGAAGTCTCTCTAGCTGTTGCACAGAAACAGCCGGGCACCCATTACCCTCACATTGTGTGGAAGGAGAGGGCTGCTCTGCTGAGCAATCCTTGCTGGCTTTCCTAAAGTCCTCTCTCTTTGAAGTGTCTACAGAACTTCTCTTGCCAGGCTCTGCAGAGATGTCGCAGTGGTCGCTCCCTTCAGGGCAACTTTCCTGTGGCATTATATCGCAGTCTTCTTCCAAAATATCTTGTTCCCTCACTGATCTGGAGGCTCTCAGCCTGTAGTCATCCAGGGAACGGCTTCGGCTGGCACCAGCGATGGCAGGATGTGGTGGTTTCCTTGCAGTATCAAATGAAGCTGATTTGGTCAAGGAACCAAGCAGACTTTCCCTGCGGTCATCTCCATCATCAGACTTTTCTTCTTCTTCTTCCAGCTCAAACTGCTCTAGAAGGGGTTCACGGAGACCACTGAGGGGCACCTTTGAATATCCAGCTTTCCGGAAAGTCCTTCTGGCTCTGTCCAGGTGTCTTCTGAACTCCCTGCCCGGTGAGGAAGGCCCCCTTGCAGGTAGCTCAGCTGCTTGGCTGTAGAAAGTGCTTTTAATGACGCTCTGTCGAGGAACACAGACAGGCGGCTTTTCTGTCCCATCCCCAGCCGTTTCAATTTTGTCCTTATCAGGTAATAATACATCTGCTTTTTCTTTCTGTTGTAGATGCGATGTGGAAGCCTTCGCCGATGAAGGTTCAGCTGCACTGCTTCTTTGGGACTGCTCTGCTCTTTCATCTCGAAGACTGGGATGGAGCTCCTCCTCTTTTAAGATACTCGCCATGAGCTCTTTGCTTTCTGTAGGTGATTTGTCCCCCTCCTCAGCTTTCACTGAAGCATACTTCCTCCTCATGGGTTTTACTGGAGGAATTTTGGAGTGCTTCTCTTCACTTGCATGTTTTGGAGGCTCCTGATGGCTTGGTGCATCAAATATGGACAAGTGCAGTTCGGGTGTAGAGCCAAAGTGCCTCTTCTTGGGGAAATGCGAGTTCTCGTTGTCTGAAGAGGAGCCGCTGGTGCTGGATGAAGTGCTTTCTTCAATAAGATGTCTGGAGATGGCCAGGGAGGTGTTGTCGTGAGTCCTTTCCAGGATTTCTGGGATGGACCGCATTACCAGTATGGATTTATAGCACATCAGAGACCGCTGAAAAGCAAAACCAAATGCAGCACAATCAGACGGAAACACGGTGGGAGTATGGTAAAGCACGCATACAAATATGACCTTCTTCACTCCTAAATACCACACCTACTAGTTTAGTAACATGTTTAATAACACCCTTTTGTACCTATCATCAGTCTGGGCCTCATTTGCTCTCCAAGTCTTCCTCTTCTCTCATTCACAGTGGTGAAACTATGTTGACTTCAGGGGACATAGTTGCTGTTGTGAACAGAGAAGCAGGACTCTGCTTGAGTTCTTCAAACACAACGAGTTTTTTAATGGAACACATCAGGTAAGAGCCTAGCTGGAGTAAATGACCTTAAAGCCATTGACAGCAGCATGACCTACAGTGACTTAGGCCAACAGAAGACCCACCATACTGTAGGAGGCACAATTCGTCTGCTCTAACTTCTGCTGTGTGAGACATCTGAGTTGAAGTTGAGCACCTGCCCTCCCTTTACAGCCAACAGAGGGAAACAGGCATCTTCAGGAGGCGGTTGATCTGATTATTTTAGACAATTTCGGGAAAAGAGGAATCTTCTTGGACCTGTCTATAATTCAGTACCAACTGCAAAGGCAGCTGTAGGTGCCATAGGTGCCGAACTTAGACACAACCGTGTGTCTTACAGGCATTGGCATTAGACCAGATGATTTCCAGGCAGCAAAATCCCAAAAAATTGATTTCTGCCACATCCATCGACCACTCTCTCCTGGGCTTATTCCCCATTCATAGCCAAGCTGTGTTTACTCTCCTAGCCCAATAGACATTAAAAGATGCAAATTTAATTAAAAATATGCATAACTAAAAAGAACCAACATAGATTAAAGCCAACTCACCTGCCACTTGCTCCGAGCCACAATGAATTTGAGCTGCTTGGTATTAATGAAGTGAGCTGCTTCCAGGGGGAGATTATGCTGCCAGGTGGAATGAGAGGAAAACCATTGGTTATAAAATCCTGATTTCATTTCCTGATAGGTTTTTATTTTTAAGATTCCCTCCTTCCAGAAGTGTTAAATTTAGGAAAGTTACAATAGACCAAATGCTACAATCCCCTCGTGGTTAAATTGTAGACAATCTCAGCTTTTCAATGATAAAAGCAAGCCCTGTTCAATGTCATTAAGTTCCTCTTTTATATATATATAATTTTTAGCTCTTCTCCTTAGAGATTTAAGGCATTGGAATGTAAACTATAACTTTGCTCTGAGAAGCCACAGTTTCCTTTCTATACAGACATGTTGTATCTGCTCATCTTGGTAGTAAACCTTATCTTTTGAAAGGAAAGATATCTTAGCATGGGAACACCAATGTGTCTCCTCTTTCTGGAGAGTCACGCCTGAGCTTCTCTACAGGACAGAAAGTTGGACACCAAGAGAAAAATTAGACCTGCAAATAATATCATGCATCCGGGGAGGGACTTTTTACAAGGGCAGGTAGCGATAGAATGAAGGATAATGGATTTAAACTGGAGGAGGGAAGATTTAGACTGGATATTAGGAAGAAATTCTTCACTCTGAGGGTGGTGAGACACTGGCCCAGGTTGCCCAGGGAAGCTGTGGGTGTCCCCTCCCTGGCAGTGCCCAAGGCCAGGTTGGACGGGGCTTTGAGCAGCCTGGGCTGGTGGAGGTGTCCCTGCCCATGGCAGGGGTTGGACTGGATGAGCTTTAAGGTCCCTTCCAACCCAAACCATTCTGTGATTCTGTGACTCTGTGATCTTTAAGAGCTGTCCCTTCAAAGATCTCTTCCAACCTCAATATTTTAATGACTCAAAGAGCCAGGACAAACTTACCATGAACCACCTGTGGGAAAGACAGTCCAAAGCACTAGGCCTGGCTCTGATAAGAGAAAAGACCATGATTTTAGTAGCAAGTCACTTCCAACAGCAACCACAAGACGTTCCTGACAGTGTTTGCTTCACGTGGACACATGCATATATATTTGTCTATGTCCTTAGGCTGCTGTTTTGGAGATGAGAAGCCAAACAGACAGGCAGAGGCTTTCAACCCAAGGTTTCCTTCCTTAGAGATTAAAAAATCCTCTATTTACAGTCTGAGACTCCCTGCAAATGCTCAGAAGGACCCCACGGCACTCTGCAGGGAGCAAGGGTGCTGAGAGCAGCCCTATGAGTAACTTTGACTCCTTAGGTATCTGGAGTGAAAATAGCTTTGGCAGCAGACAGAATGAAAAGAAATGAAATTAAAAAGCAAGTGCTTGCGAACATGCCTTCAAGCTGCCTTTTGTACTTGAAATTGCTTAACGAGTGGGGTTAACATCATTTAATTCTCATCTAACTCCCTCTATATCAGTCCTTGCTCTTCCCACTTATCTATGTCATTTCAGAAACTCATCTGCCTGGAGGAGTCAGGGAGTAAAGACATCACCGTACCAGAAACAGGCCGAATTTGGCAAACTGTCATGTTCTGGGGACTAATAAAGATGAATTAGGGCACAACACACAACATCTTGCCCAGCTTTCTGCTGTTCAAAACAGCCGAGCTGCTGAGACACCAACATCTTTGCACAGTAGCTGTAGGCAGCACAAACGTGCACTCACTTGGGGTCCTGCTGTAGGATCCCTTTGATAAAGTCCTTCGCCTCCTCACTCAAGTGAACAAAATCAGGAATGGTCCATGAAATTTCCCCATTCTGGATATTTAGGAGGGTTCCTCGATCGTTCTCCCCAGCAAATGGAGACTTGCACGTCAAGCTTGTTTATTGACCACCATAAAATGAAAGGAGACAGACGTTAGATTTTCATTTGCTGTTAAGATGACAGAAGTACAAATGCTTACAGATCCCTCACTTGAAGGGACTGGAGGGCTCTGACTGGATATTGAATGAGTCTTTCCAAGAAGATTTCTTTACCTTAAATAGGTGATGACTCCCACAGCCCTGAGGAGAGAGGGAACACAAATGTCAGGTGTCTGTCACTATTTTTCCCTCCTTCTAAGCACAAAGTCCTTTTTCCTGCCACTACATACCCTGGCACATTAAGTTGCCTTCATCTCCCCACCTTTCCAAGGAAAATAAATCCCCAAATCTAGTGCTTTCACCTTTCAGTTTTTTTCTTTCAGCTTTAAAAAAAATATGTTCTCAAGTAATCAAGCACAGATAGTGGAGAAGACTCAAAATGGGCTTTTCTGAGCTTGTTTGCCTTTTCTAGAAAGCCTCTTAGGATCATTCTCCCTAGCTGCTGCCTCTAATAAAGATCATCTTCTCTAAGATGCTCCTTTGCATTAATTAGCTGTCAGAGTTCAATTATGGTCGAATAAAGTAGACAGAAGGAGCTTAAAAGAGCCCTGATGGGCTTTGGATTCTCAATGTTCACTTTCAGTTTCCTGTGTTAACTCCACTCCATTTACTTATTAACAATAAATGGAAATTCAAGTAATCTGGGGCAAAAGGTTTTCAGAAAGGGGGTAGGTTACCAGATATCGGTTGCTTTTGACACTGGTGACTGACAAACGATTTCTGGGGCAACGAACTCGGGAGACCCGTATTTGCTGAACTGAGGTTCAAAGGTCTTGATCTTCTGCGCAAATCCGAAGTCGCAGAGCTTAAGGTCTTCCCTTTCAGGATAAACCATGAGGATATTCAGCGGCTGGAAAATCGAATAAAAAGAAAAGGGAGAAATTTCTCTTGAAAGCAGGGAATATTTTTCAGTTGTCAGTAAGAATAATTCAAATAGACAAAGACTATTCCCTGACCAATAAAAGGCTATGAGAAGCTGGACCTGCCATTGCACATTACCTTAATGTCCAAATGGAGGACGTTGTTGTCGTGAAGATATTTGATTCCCTCCAAAATTTGCTTGATATACAATTTGACCTAAAAAGTAAATCAATTATTAGACACTTATTGCACATGAAGAGTAAATAGGAAGATCCCTGATTCCATCAACATTTTTAATATATATGAGAGGGAGAGATGAAACTAGAAATACTTTTAAAACTAGAATTAACTTCTTATATTAGTCTTGCAGCTGAAATAAGATGTAAACCAAACATTACTCAATGGAATGAAGCTGTGCTTTATGTGTGACCACATTGCCCTGCTGGACCTTATCAACTCTCTGACTTATCTAACTTGGATTCAGCTCTGGCTCGATGTAAATCAGGCAAATACATCTAAAACACAAACACATTTTAAAACTATGTTGTAAACCTGCTTTCTTGACCATGCATAAATCCAATCTGACTGTGAGTGAACAAGGAATGAAGATCTACAGCAAGCTTCAGCTTTGGAAGTCCTCTAAGTTTGGTATTTTGCAGTGTTAAGTGATGTTTGGTCTTTAAATGTCCCTTTCAACCCAAGCTATTCTATAATTCTATGATATTTCCATCTGAGTATTTCTAAGAAAAATCAATTTTACCAATAAATATGGGACAACAGGCTATTAGATGGGAGATATGAAGTGTTTTTAACTTTGAGCACCAAGAATCTCAAAAAAAGCACCTTAGAAACCATAATTTCAGCCCTTGGTTTTGAGACTGAAAGGGAATGGATAGAAGTACAGTTGTGAAGGGATAAAGTGTTATTAAGTGAGGGAAGATACAGGTGCTCCAGGTGACAGATAGCAAAGAAATGATGCTAATGGAGCAAGTGTGGCCTGTATTAGGCTGAATGAAATGCTGGTGGTCAAACCCACTGACTGTTCCTAGTTATTCCTTGTAGAAAATCAACTGAGTGGGAACACATTTTAAAGTCTGGTTCTGTTTTGCCACATTATCCCTGGTACAAAGATATTCCTCCTATGCAAAAAGGAAATTGCAGCTGGAAGATGCTCTGGTGGCACCCACCAGCTCTGGACTTTCAAATGAGACAGAAAGATTACCTCTGCTTCAGTGACAACACTCTTCTTGAATAAACGGTCGAGGAGCTCTTCGCTGGAGCATCTGACAGCAGAATTAAGGGAAAACAGCACTAGTATTTCACTTATTTTTAGCTTATTTTTTCTCCGTTATCCAGCTAACAGCAGAATTCACGAGGTGATCGTAGGTAACGTGATGTGCTTTCATTAATGTCTCTATTGCAGCAGTGTTCTTGCAGAATTGGGCTGCTCTAAAGCACCCTGAAGCAGGAGCATGCTGTCGCTTGTGCTAAAATCTGCCTGTTGGATATGGGCTTTTCTGCTCTGCATTGCATTGTCCTGGTGCTCATCCAGATTGGATCCTCATGGAAACAAAGTCCTTCGCCTCTAAACATTTCAGAAAAGAGTTTTGGTGCTTAACAATGCATTCACAGTCACATATGTAAGTATTATGGCTTTTCCTAAAATAGTAGAAACAGTTCTTTAGTGAGGACCCAACAGAGCTATTCTGCTATCCTACAGTGCAGGAAAAGATTATATGTGTCCTCTTATTCCAGACAAAACCTATAATTGGTTAATTGCTTAGTTATTTAATAAATGATCTCTGCCTGGTACTTCCCAGCCTCCTCAGAGAGGCAGCTCAGAAAAGGATACAACTCCAGAATCAAAATCAGTGTTTTCCGTGTCTCAAACTGATCCAGGAGCCTGGTAATTCTGTCATGGGACAGAGAGGCGAGAATATCCCTCTCCTGATGCGCTCGAGCCTTCGTTTTGCTTCGTAATGGTATGAATTTGGCAGCACAAGACACTCTGTTCCCTTTATGCACAACACGTTTCACAAAGCTGAAGCAGCCCCTGTGTAAAAATCAAAGGACAAACCCTGCTCAGAGTTGGTTCAAAGCCCTCGGCACAGCAGTTATAGAACTTTCCACATCTCAGCCTTTGACAGCTCCCTGCTGCTTAAATTCTCTGACACAGTAAAGCTGATTTTCATGTATATGAGGTGCTGTTGCCCTCTCCTGGCTGTCTCCAAAACTAAGCAACGATTTCACTCCAAAGGAGAAGCTGTTTGCATTCAAGGTGATATCACCTTATGCTGACAAAGGCTGATGCTCTTGGATCCCTTGGATGGACACAGTGCTTGAAAGAGTCCAGCAGAGCCACAAAGATGACGGAGGGAGTGGAGCATCTCCTGCTGAGGAGCGGCTGAGGGAGCTGGGGCTCTTGAGCTTGGAGCAGAGGAGACTGAGGGGTGACCTCGTTCATGTTTATAAATTTGTAAAGGGCGAGTGTCAGGAGGAAGGAGCCAGGCTCTGCTCTGGGATGTCCAATGCCAGGACAAGGGGCAATGGTCCCAAGCTGGAGCATAGGAGGTTCAACCTGAACATGAGGACAAACTTGTTTACTGTAAGGGTGTCAGAGCATGGCCCAGGCTGCTCAGAGAGGTTGTGGAGTCTCCTTCTCTGGAGACATTCAAACCCCTGGCTGTGTTCCTGTGTGACCTGGTCTGGGTGATCCTGCTCTGGCAGGGGTTGGACTGGGGGAGCTTTCAAGGTCCCTTCCAGCTCCTAATATTCTGTGATTTTGTATGGGCTTGTGATGTTAACATTGCCAAGGAACCATACCTGGGCACATACCCTGTCAGCCTGTGCTGGTATTTTTTCTGGTTGAAGGAACAAGGACACATGGGCTGCAGGGACCCTCCCCTCCTCAGTCAGAAACCTCAGCCATGTGTTTCCAGCAGACCTGCAATGGGATGTCCTCCCACCTCTACTGGTACTTCCAGATGGTTGCACATGCTTAAAGGCTCAGATGGGCAATCAGATTTTCTCCTTTAATCATCCCATTAAGTTGGAAAATGCATTTACCTTCCAATCTCCTGCTTCACCTCATACAGGGAATGGAGCTTTCTTCTGGTGGCCACTTTTTTTGCAGCTTGGTCTTTCTTAGCTTTGGAAATGAAGAAAAATGCAAGTGTTAATACTCAGACAACAAGGCCTTGCTAACAGCATGCAAAGTTATTACAGGATAATTCAAGGCAGGAAAATATTGAGGGGTCCTCTAAACTTCTGCACAGAATTAAGTGGAGCTGTTTGATGACAGAGCCTGTCAATACGAACGGTGGGGTTGCATCTTCAGCTGACATAAATCAGAAGATCCAGGTTAAAGAGCAGAACACCACCAGAGGCATGGCCCCACGTATTTCTGTATCAGTTCGTCATGCAGTCTCAAGCACAGAATAAAACCCCTCATTTTCATATACATATAGGTCAATAGATCATTTGCCCCTATACTGGATCCTGCCATACTGGGATTATACAAACTCTACACAGGAATAGAGACAGAGACTGTATGGGTACCAGCAGATGTATCAACAGAGTACACACTGCAGTGGCTACAGAAGCAGCTCCTGCAGCTGAAAGAATGACTTTACCTTCGTATACAATAAGCTCTGCCTTGCACAAAACCTCCCCTCCTGTATTTTTGGCAACACAGGTATAAACACCACCATCTTCTGAGACAGCGTTGTCCACGATTAAGAAATACGTTGTTCCTTCCTTTCCTTGGTGGACCCTGCTGCTGTCTGTCAGCAATGACGTCCCCTGAAAGAGGAGAAGGACATTTTGGCACCAGGAATACAAGATGGAAACAGACATCTCTTCAAGAAATGAGATGCAGGAGCAGAGCTACAACACAGATCGCTCAGGGTAGCAAATCTCACTAACAAAATGCTGGCTGAAGAAGTCCCCGATGTCAAACTTTCTCTACTTCCACACTATTCAATAACATTTTTATTTTACAGCCCATTCATAGGAATACAGGCTTGGGAGGGATCACCAGGGCTATGTGGTTTATTCTGCAGCTCTCCCAGTGCACCATGCTGGGCATCCAGCCCAGGGAGCACGAGGATCAGCTCTGCTCCTGCCCGATCTCCAGTTTGTGCTGACACTTTTGCTGCTTAATATGTTCATAAATGCTATGGAAAAGGGATGGGAAGGAGTGTGCGTGACAAAGAATATGAAGATTTGCAAAAGGACCTTGTAAAGACCTCCTGACTGGGCAGTAAAATGCCAGATAAATGTATATGATACAATAAATGTGAAGTGGTGCAACTCTATTCCCCCACACGAAATGTCAGGATCTGAGCTTTTCCTTGTTACACTGAAGCAAACATTTGAGTTACAGCAGATCACTACAGCACCAGCTCAGTACTTGGTGACAGTCAAAAAGCACCTGACATTAGAAATTATTAGGAAAGAATTCAAGAATAAGACAGAAAGCCTCATCTTATAAATCCTTGGTTTGCCCAGAGTGTGGAAGGGAGGATCTAGCAACATGACATGATAGAGCTGTGCAGACGGATGAATAAGTCTACTGAGTAGACAGGGATTCACTTTTCCTGGTACGAGATGTATGAAGCTTGTGGTAAATATGAGGAGACTAAGTAAGCATGTGGAGAGTTTTACTATGGGTTGGTAAACAGATAGATATAGAATAGAATAGATAAAAGTTCAGCCAGCTTGGGATAACTCTGAGCTGAAATTGTCAGAGGTTGTGAGAATATTAACAGGGTGCATCATATATTCTTGCCTTGCTCTTATTCTTTTTGGGGTGTTCAGATGTGTGCATGTGTGTGTGCATGGGAGGGGGTTCTTTGCATTTTTCTTGTGGTTTTTAAGGTTATTTTATTTGTCTGAGTAGCTCATCCTTGCACTTCTCATGCAGAAATAAAACTAAATAAACCACTTATTTGGACAGAAGGGTTACAGACAATCATTATAGCACAACCTTATCTTATTCAGAGGCATGACAATATTCAATTAAATTCTTTCTCCTTCCTTTCTATGGGATATTCATTGTCCTGAGTCACACTCATTAGCTATGGGAAAGGTACCTGGAGCTCATATTGACAATTGGAATAAACCATTCTTATGTCTTAATAATCCCATCTCTGATCCCAGAACTATGTCACACATATTGGTGGCTCTCAGACAGACACCAATGTCCCCTCCTGCCCATCTTGGTCTGCAAAACCATCTTGGTTGCCCTCTCTGCAAAAGGACACTGGAGACAACACAGAGTGAGATGCATGGCTGGTGGCACGGTCAAAGTCCATAGATATGACCCAGAATCAGTGTAAGAGGTGTGGGGTGAAAGAACAACAGAGGATGCTGCTTTAAGGTCCTTTCTGTGGTCCTCGTTCTCAGCCAGAGGGATTCTTGTACTTACCTTAAACCACAAAACTGTAGGTTGAGGGGTTCCTTCAATGACCGCCTGAAATTTGGCGCGCTCTCCGGATTTCACCTGCACATCCTCTATTGTCACTTGCATGTAGGGAGGACCTGGCGAGACACAAGGGTGTGGTGCATGGACAACACCATAACTTTGGTCATGGAGGTTGAGTTACTCAAATGGGATTTACAGGACTAGCCATCGAGAATGTGACATTAGGTTAGTGCCAAAAGACAGCACAGCAATATATTTGGGGCTTTTTATACTGGTTTTCATGCTTATCTGTTACTTTTTGTTTAATAAACAGATACTACTCAAAAAATGGAAGTATTTTAAAAAAGCAGTCATCAAGAGCTATCACCAAAAGAAAGGATGATAACAATCATGGGATGTGGGAGAGAAAAACAAGACTCTTCCTTACTTGTTGGGGTCTTCTCCTCAGTCTTATACACACGTGTCCTTTCTGTGGTCTCAATATAAACTTCACTGCGTACATCCCAGACCACATCTCCTTCTCTTCTGTACCAATCTCCTGCCCCCGCGGCTGGTGATGTTCTTTCATGAAGCCCAAGAGAAAAGATCACGACACAGTCACATACAACTGCAGAGATATTACACCCTGCCATTGATCCGCATGTTTAACCACCAGAAAAAAAGATTTATTTACTTAAAATTAATACAAGAATAATTTTTTGAGGACAGAGAATCAATCTCTCACCAACCTTTTCTACCTTCCTTGCACAATATATATGTAACAGGTTTCTAAAACTCATAACAAACCTACAAGAGTAAGTTCAAGTCACCACCTGCTTCTTCTACCACAGAAGATTTGCTTTTGTCACCACAAAGCCTGCCACGTTCAGAAATCTGTGTACTGAGATGAGTATTTACCTGGTAATAGGCACAGTGCGCTCCCGAGTGCTTTCATCTCCAGCAGCCACCTCTTCATGGAAAAGACCAGGGCTGGGCTTTGGCACACTCGGTTCTTCAGCTGGTATTTGCCTTTGTGCTTTGCCTGACAGCAGAAATAGAACAAGTTAGGCCCATCACCTCTGAAGGCACACCTGAAACCCAAAGCAAACCTTTGGAGCCATCTCTAGTCTGCCTTGTGCAAGAGCTGAGTCCGTTTGAACTCAGCTGGGTGAAATCACTGAAGCTGAGAGGAGAATTTGGCCCTTTTGAGGAGACCACATGAAGCAAAGGGCTTGAATAATATCAGAGAGACTGAATGGTGGCACATTGCATGGGCAAAACATTTCTTTAAGGAAATGCACACAAACACAAATAAGACAGACAGTTGGGAGGAACATGAGAAAATAGGATGATTGGAAGGACAGTGTGAGTTCAATGCAACCTTTACAGGAGATAATTTAATGGTGTTTGAATTCCAACTCATGGCTATGATGAAATCACAGAAACACAGAATGTCAGGAGTTGGAAGGGACCTCGAAAGCTCCCCCAGTCCAACCCCTGCCAGAGCAGGATCATCAGAGCAGTCACACAGGAACACGGCCAGGAGTTTGGGTGTCTCCAGAGAAGGAGACTCCACAACCTCTCTGGGCAGCCTGGGCCATGCTCTGGCACCCTCATGGTGAAAAAGTTATTCCTCATGTTCAGGTTGAACCTCCTATGCTCCAGCTTGGGACCATTGCCCCTTGTCCTGGCATTGGACATCCCAGAGCAGAGCCTGGCTCCTTCCTCCTGACACTGCCCTTTCCAAATGGATCCCCAGGAATGAGGGCACCCCTCAGTCTCCTCAGCTCCAAGCTAACGAGCCCCAGCTCCCTCAGCCGCTCCTCATAAGGGAGATGCTCCACTCCCTCCAGCATCTCATAAAATCATTTAGGTTGGAAAAGACCCTTAAGATCATTGGGTCCAACCATTAACCTAACACTGCCATGTCCACCACTAAACCATGTCCCTAAGCACCATGTCTACGTGTCTTTTAGATACCCCCAGGAGCGCCCAGCATTAGCTTTGTACGCATGAATGCTTCGTTTAAACTTTGCATCGTAAGAACTGTTCTTGACTCAGTGGTGTGATCACAGCCACCACCAGTGAAATGAGCTCGCTTACGTCCATGTAAAACTGGTGATAAAGGCAGGCCCTGGCTAGGGACACAACTAATGTGGGGATAATATGGAGGTTTGCTAATATGGAGCAACTGGTGATGTTATAACATCAGCATTGGTTCATCTCCACTGGCTGCTTTGAAACTTTCCTCCTTGAACTTGAACTTACACCAGAAGAAGTTTTGACATGCTGGGTTTATAGGAAAAAGAAAACAAAAAGAAGGTGCAGCTTGATGGCAGCTCAGGTATCGTTCTTCTGTTATTATTATTTTATCAAATATATCTTCAAAAATTGGTTTGATCCATTCCAAAAGTACCTGATTGTCTTTAGATAATGACTGTTATAGTTAGCCCCTAAGAGAAAGTGCATCATGTGTCCTTTTTCATCTGAGGAGAAAAGGTGAAATCAAGAGGAGTCTTCTCCCCAGCAGGAAGGGCCTTTTTGGGGAGCACTCTGGGAATGTTTGGTGCTGTCTGGTTTAGGAAAAAAAAAAGCAGCAGTGTCTAGAAACCACATAAATGAGCACTATTGGGATGGAAAACATGGTTACTCAAGGCATTACTGGCAGGGGCAGAGATCCCAGGTTGGTGGGATCATTCTTTCCTATTGCTGGGACTATTGAAATGTTTGCCTTCTTTTTATTCAAAGCATGTGATCATAGGGGCTGTTGTCACGTCTCTGTCTTATTAAAGTAATTCCCCATATTAAGAACACCTTTAGTTGTCTCAGATGAAAGGACTGCAAAACCATCTCATTCACTGTTCTATTATCTCTGCGGTTATGACTAAGGAAATAATCTGCTAAATGACATTTTACTTATGTGTTTTTGAGTCATCCTGCTTCACTAGAGGATTATTTTCACAGATGATTTCCCACTAGAAAGGAAAAAAAAGGTTATAAAGCCCTGTCATTTTTTAAATGAAGTCATTTTGGGCCTGATCTCGTGAAATATTTCTCTCTCTGTTAAGTTTTAGAAAATAATACTTTTTTTTTTTAAACAGCATTTGGAGTTTAGGGCTGGAGGCTACTTGACATTGTCCTTTTAAGCTGATGCTGGTGAAGGACAGTTACTCTGGCTTGACACAGAGACAGCTTAGACAAGTTGTTATGGCAGAAGCAGAAGGAAGAGTGGAAGGGTTGCCCGTCATTCATGTATTTAAAAAAAGCAATGCAAAGATGAAAGACTGGTTCTCCTGGCAAGACACAGTCATGCACATCATTGGATTTAGTCACACACAGACTGCTAAGGAGTCTCTTAAAGCTCCAGGGCCAGTGAAATGCAGGTGAACCTGATGCACCCAACCGCCTAGAAAGTCTCTGGCAGTTGATATGGGGGTGTTAAACACATTTCCAGCTTGTTTATGGCAAACAATAAAGAAAAAGCAACCTCCCTTACTCATCCCACCAAATCAAAACCCAAATGACTTGTATAATTGTAGAGGAGGGACACCCCCTCTTCTGCCCCTGAAACCCTGAAGGAAGTCCAGTGTGGGCAAGTAATGGCCCAAACTCTACTTGAGAGACAGTTTTCAAACACCTTCTGTTTCCAGAAAGATCTGCCCCAAACTTGTGTCCAATCTAACCCTAACCTAACATTTCTTTGGGTCTGAATGTCCCCTATTCATCTGCAACGGCTTGAAACACAACAGAACAGAAAAACAAAGGAAAAAAATATCATTACTGGCGCGTTCAATGTTTTTGTCTGTCTTGACTCCCTCCCATGGGACATTTTCCAGATTCATGCCAAACCTACCATGACCTCCAGCAGTTTGGGTTTGGGTACTGGCTTCGTGAACTAGTGCAGAGGGCCCGGCTGCTGTTTCTGAGTGACCTGAAGGAACAGAGCCAGGAAGGCCAAGGCCACCATCTCCTCCTCGTACTCCTGATGGAAGAGTCACCAGCATGGATGCTGAGTCCACAAGTTTCTTTAGAGCTGTCTTGATTTCCTTATCAGCTCGTTGAAGCGAGGCCTGGACAGAAGTCTCCATGTCTGACTGTGAGGAAGTCATTCCTACAGACAAGAAGAACAACTTTTCTCTCTTCTGGGTAAAAAGCAAGTAGCAGCATCATCCAACCCATGGAAATATTTGCAATCTTATCATTTTCCCTTCCTAGAGCAGGGAGCTGATGCAGAAATATTTCTTCCAGCAAGATAGAATGCAGCTAAGCTTTAAAACAAGAAGGTTGGCACAACACGCTTTGGAAAGATGTATCTCAGCAGGTTGAGGATGCTGTGTCACACTGCATACACACATGGCCTCTCCCCAGACAGCAGAACAAATGATCCATCTCCCAGTTTAGACCTATGTTGGCTGGTCTGTCAAAAATACCTTTATTAAAATCATGAAAAGAACCCAGTGGTGACCCATTGCACTGATACAAACCCTATGTGCAAGGAGGACGTTACCCTCACAGAGAAGGGGTGAGCAGGTACCAACCTCATCGGTCACTCTGGGGAAGGGCAGAAGAAAGAAAGGGGAGCTGCTCTGCTTCATGAACCTGTAGGTCTGAGAGGATGGCATAAAAGCTACTCCTTGTAGAGTAATCTATTTCTCCTACTATGCAATCTCACAATATTTTTGCTGGGCCTTACGCTAGAAAGTACTCCAGACTTTTAAATATGCACTGGACTATGCCTTTGCAAGATACTCTAGAAGCAAGGTCAACTGGTCTGTGTAGTAATCCACAATGGTATGGGTAAGCATTATACAGAGGAAGATACAACTCCTGTCTCAGGATTCTCCTGCTCTTGAAGGCAGAGAGAAGACCTTTCCACATGTAAAAATGGATTTTCAAGCATACATCTTTGCAGAACAACCACCCAGGAGATAAATGCCACGGTCTCATCTCCAGCCAGTGCTTGTAGACGAAGATAGGCTAAGATGGGCTCATAGGACCACAGGAGCTCATCTCATCCAATCTCCTGGCCAAAACACCTTCCACCAACCTCAGAGAGGCACAACAAAGAGAGAGACTTAAGGAAACCCTCAAGCAACCATAAAGACAGACAAAATACAAGTCAGATTAAGACACTTCACCACGTTCACGATGTGATTGCTTGCCAAGGAAGAGTGCAAACTCAGACCATCAGGTGGTTCAAGAAAAAAGAAAACACTGTGCAGAAATGGCTCAGACTTTTTTAATATAATTGCCCCAGGAGCATGTCCTATAGCTGTTTTGATTTTACTCTTTTCCTGGCATTAAGAAAGTGAGTTCTCATGATAGATCGTAGCAGGTAAAGTTGACGGCTGTGTTTGGATCAGCCCCGTGATTGAAGACATCTCACTTATGTTTTCTTTTCAAAGTCCTCCCCATGAGTATAGTGGTTATGAAATATTTCAGTTCTGGGTTTGTTGACAGAAAAAACAGGTTTTGCTCACACCATGCCAACAATTTCCCTTTTTGGAAAGGTGTGAAACACGCTTATTATCTCTCAATGAGGAAATATATTCACAGATTTTTTTTATATATACATTTATATATACACAGAAGTTATATATAACCACAAATCTCCTCATGCTGCTAACACCACCACTTTCCTCCCTGCATCCATCCTGTTTAGGGTTGTTACACACTATGAGGAACTTCAATATTAGCTGAGGAATGTCAAACTAACGCCGTGGTGGTGACACACCTGTGATGAACAGCCCCTTTCCCAATTTTAACATCTCAAGCGTGAACATTTCCACCCCACGTGTCCATCACACCATCACCAGGAACACAACACTGCGATGTATTTTGAAGTTCCAATTGATCCTCAGAGAAGGATCCAAGAGGACAAACATTGCTCAAAGTTATTGACTCCTAAATCTGGGTTGGAATTTTCCTTAAAAGCACGTTCTTTCACTTCAACACTCCTGAAACTATCTGTAAGAAGCTGAGTTGGAGCCATACTCTTGGTTTGCAACCCAAGATGGGAAAAGTGGACGAGCTGATGGATTATTGAGTGCCATGAACAGAGAACACAGAAACCCAGTGAGTTCAGTGACAGCTGATGCAAGACATTTATTGATATAAACTCAGCATCTAACAACGTACTTTGCATTGGATTTTTTAAGGTTTTTTTGTATGTGTTTTTTTCATTTTGTATCTCAAGCAAACTGAAGTTTCCACTTTAATAATACCCATTTACCTGCAGGAATTTTAGTAAAACATTCTTTGTATTAAAATTTTGAATACAGCTGTATGTTTTCATCTACAAGAAGTAAACCCCCACACATCTCATTAGTTATCTACAGAGTTTAATCACTTACAAGCATAATTTTTAACCTCTAGGAAGATATTTTGAAAGTATATGTAATGAACTTGTCATAAACCTTTCACTTTTTGAACAAAGTCCTGCATAGGATTTTAAAAGTTCCTTTCAACTTACTCTCTTTTGCTTAAATTTCAAAAGAAAATGTAAACAGATGTTAATTGCTTTGGGCTAATGAACCAAAGTACAGTTATTTCTTCTATGACCATCTGAACTTTAGAAAAACCTAAGCATCAACCACAACAGGAGGAAACCTCCACTTTCCTTTACACATCTTTAGTATCTTTTGGATGGTTATTATATTTTTGAAGACCATCACAGGGCAAATTCTTTTCTCAGCAGCATCTTTGTAAATAGGAATCAAATCCATTCCTTCTGTGGAATTATTCTGGGTCGATACTGGAATAACTGAGAGCAGAATCAGGCCCAATTAAAAAGAAATATTTTTAGTTTCAAAAGCATATTTCTCCATTTTCTGTCTGTTACTTTCCAACGTACAGTGCAATATATGAAGAAAGCACTAATATATATCCATCACTTTGCTTAATTATAAAACAAACTGTAGAAACCAAGGAGATGTTATAAAAAATGGGAGAGTAACATAAAAGAGGCTTGATTTTTTTTTTTTTTCTCCGCATGTAATCACTGGAAGAGCATCCTATATCATGTAGGTAGTGCACGTGATATCACACGTAACATCCTGTTTGGACATTGAAAGTAAAAGGCTGTGAAATCACTCTGTTCATTTTAGTCAGCACACGACCAAGGTGCAGCCACAGAAGTAAAAAAAAAAAGAGAAGTATTCTTTTCTACAAGCACCTTTTGTGAATTCAGTCCCTTTTAGCAAGAATATTGCCCAGAGGACTACAGAACAAGCTTCACAGTTTTACCTGGCTGGGAAACACTGAGGCAACACCACACATCAACATTTCCAAGGCAAAAACTCACTCAATCCTCTCTCTTCGTGCTAGGTAGAAATTCAGCTGTGTCTGAGCATTTCTGGCTTTCCTACACCATCGAAATTAAAACACTGGCTATTGCGGCAATGAAAACGCTGGCTATTGCGGCAGTGCCACACCATCAGCTGGGACAAGGTGTTGGGACTTAGCACCCCACATCTCTGTCAGATGGAGAGGGCCAATGCTTGGTCCTACTGAGATCGATGAAAAACTCCAACTGACTTCAACTGGAACCAATATTTGGGCCCGGGAGCTCATTTCTTTCCAGGGTTGAGCAATTTGTTGAAGGTCTGTGCAACACCCAATGTTGGTGAAGCCAACAGGAATGGGCCATGCTTGGAGCATTTTAGCCTTCTCCTTGTATTCAATGCTCCCACTGAGCTGCAAAGCTCCAGAGAAACTCAACTCTACAAGACAGCTCAACGTACATGGTTACAGTAAGATGATGCAATTGCAACTGGCAGTGCTTCCAAGCATCCCAGTACATTCTAAGGTGTTTTTCAACCAGGTATTCATGGTAAATATATCTTTATTTTCTTTCTCTCTCTTTTTTTTAATGCTCATTTGAGTGTGCTCCTGCTGCTTCACTGTAGCTCAGTGGTGAGCACATATAAGAGACATTACCCATCAACCTGTTAACAGCAATGTTTCACCACTGGCATGTGCAGGAGACCAAATATCCTCCCAGTAATATTTACTGACAACCACATTTGTGGTTCATTGTACATGTTAGCAACTGACTATAGACGAAGTCATTTTGTGCAGCACTTTTGGTGCACATCAGGTAAATCTCTGCTTTAGAAGATACAGTTTACAAATCCACTGCACTAGAATGAAGAATAATGAAACTTACACCTTTAGGCAACTAGGAAGTGGACTTGAAAACAGCAGTAATTTTTAAAAGATGGTCTTTTTTTACTTAAAGCAGAAGAGAACAACGAAATCCTTGCTTCCTCAAGCCAGTGGGACTTTCACCATTGACTTCAGTCAAATTAGGATTTCAACCAAAGGGTCTGAGCAGCCCTTTGCTTTCCTAGCAAATACAATATTTTCTGTATGTTTCATTCTGTGGCAGAAAGTTTAAAAGAATGTAACCAGTCCGTGCATGTTGAAAGGTTTATGGAGAAATTTTGATAGATTTAAGTGGTGTCAGAAGTGTACAGCAGAGTCAAGGCAGTGTGAAGCTTCATCACCTTCGGGCACACACAGCGATAGGAGATTGCTTTGGCTGGAAACAGCCCTCCTATCCTGGGCTGCTGAAGGATGTTGAAAATCTTAGATAATATCACCTTCTCACCACACCATCATTTACAAATTGGCACTTGAAATAATCTTTAAGTTCATGGACAAAAAATGCACTTACTCGTTTATATTTCTGTCATAGGCAGGAGGAGAACCAGGCTTTTCCTAAACCCACTGTCACTGCTCCGCTATGGAATGATATATGCTTGCCTCGATCAAAGCTTTTAAAATTACAAACTGTTCTGACAGACATGTTCCCTTTAAGACTGGAAAAGCTTGACATATCAGATTTAAATATATTTTCCTCAAAGTTATTTACTCATACATGTTACCTTGTAATCTTTGCCATCAATTCCCCTCGCCTACAACAATTTTGACTAAGCTTTTATTTCTAAAACACTGCTTTCTTTTGTGTTGAAAATCATGCTTGCATCCACTCAGCTTTGGGAGAGGTCTTCTGTGCTGATGTGCAAGGTAACGGGCTCGCCAACAGTCCCATAGCTGAGGGTTCTCGTGGAAACTTCAGTTTTAAAGCTTGACTGTCCGTTGTCTGCCGAGAGCTGGACTTCGGTGCAGAAAGATGGTTTCACTGTGAAGGAGGGACCAGGAGAAGCTGCTGCTGTTGCTGCATGCACTCCAGGTGTCACTGCTACGCAGGTATCGCTCACATGGAAAGAGATGTTTGAGGGACCTACAGACTGCACACCGGTTACTCTGGATGCTGAGACGAACACACCCCCGGGAACGTGCTCCTCAAACTGGCTGAAAAACCTTTGTCTGGGCTCAGAAACCACAGGTCTCCCCAGGTTCAGCAGCACCGGCTTCCCAATCATTGGCTCGTTAATCTCTGTCTGGAGCACGGAGATCTCACAGGGTTTGTCTGCCATACGACTGTGATCATCACATCTGTAGGTCTCACCTTCTTCAGGAACATAATCTTCAAGATCCTCTAAAGTCAATACTTTGCCATTGTGGGTTAAGATTTTGCGGTCCCGGGTGCTAATGTCATCTGTCTGTAGTTCTTCCGGTTCATCAACTATAATGACATTATCCTCTTCTGGAAGGACATCTTGCATTACTTCAGGTATCCCCTCTTCAATAGGCCAAGATACATCCAATTCATCTGCTGCCTCTGTCACCTCTGGACTCGCTGTTGAGAACAGAAGTTGGTGCTGGTCTGCAGCAGCTGGCTCAAAACTGAAGACCAAAGGGTCACCCCCACAGGCAAGCAGTGGGGAAGCGGTGTCTGACTCATAGTGAGCACTCGTTTCCTGTGGGAAGCTCTTTCCTTCAGGTCCATAATCCATAAATGAATTATTTCCTAGTTGTTCAGATCCACATGGGAAGCTTCTGTCTTCACTGCTGACTTGAGGTCCTTCCTGCTCGGAGTACACCAGAGGCTGGATATCAGCTTCAGAGGGACTATCATTAGGCAAAGATTTTGACTGTTCCACCAATTTGTTGTTGGAGTTGTTGGTGTTTGGATCATCTTCTGGGGAACGCCTAGGCCTCGGGCTGGGAAAAGTGAATGTTAATACCCCTGAGTCATCTTTCTCTTGTTTTGCTGGGGAAGAGCCTCTTTTCTTTGCAGGCTTTGGAGATTTTTTCACTTTGAATTCAATTATTTCTTCCACTTCAACCCATTTGGGCTTTTTCTCTTCCACTTTGGTCTCTGTGATGACATCTCTGGCTGCTGCTCCTTGCCTGTCCTCTGGTTCTGTGACAAAAAGCACGGGCACAGCAGACTTCAATGTTGCCTCCTGCTCATGCCTCTGGACAGGCTGCCTGATCTTTGAGACATAAACCGGCTCCGGAGTTGGCTCTGCTCTTGGGGAGCGGGAAGGCGAATGGCCTGAAGATGAACGTGCAGGAGAAACCCTTCCCCTTTGTCTTGGGCTCTTCACTACAGTGGTTATTGTTTCCTCTCTGATGACAGAAAGGGTTGAAAAGGAGTTGGCAGGAGTACGAGACTCTTTCAGGGAGCCACACTCCATCAGCACATGCCACGATCGGTCAAGGCGCTACAGTGGGGTTAGTTTTGTGAGCACTCCAGCTTTTGGGGAAGCGTGTCATTTTGGAAGGCATACACACGCAACGCAACACACCCACATGCCCATCTCCACTTACTTTCTCACCCAGGGAAAACCTCAGTGGATCCTAGCTCCATTAACCTCCTCGAGTGCATGAACACCCAAGAATTAAGTCCAGGTGAGAAATGTCCTCCTGGATGCTGCTATACTTCATGTACTTGTGTTGACCACCTACTATGCTATTTTGGAACCATATAGCAGCCTCACACAAAGATTTTAAACACTCAGGGAGTTCAAACTTTTCCAGAGTGTCTTTGGCTCAAATCCTGCCTTCATCCAACCCAATGGCAAAATGCCCTTTATTACAGTAGGGTCAGCAGTTTCTTCTTTCTTAATAAAGGTAACATACCTCTATTTTTGAAATTAAACACTTCTGAGACCAGAGATCTGCGTTTTCACATGCAGAGCAGTTGTATTAAAAGGGCATTAAGCATTTGGAGACCAGGAAAAGAAAGTTAAAACATTTTCTGTAGAAGTTATCTATGCCAAAATGTACTTATCGTTACTCTTCATAATACTGTTACTGCAGACACAGCCTGATCCTGCAACCACCAATTGACATAGGAGTACCAAATCAATCTGGGATGCATGATTATAGTTTCTCAGCGTATTTCTGCTGGCCTTACTTTAGATTTTCTGAGGTATCCGAAGCAGTTGGGACTTCTCAGCATCCCTGTATAAATATGCAGCATGTGCCAAAACAATCTTCTGCTCCCATCCTAGGCCAAACTTTGTCTTTATATGAGCTACAGATGAAATTGGATCAAACAGCTTTAAAATCTGGAGACAGGAACACCTAAACCCAGGCAAGCACTCTCTTCCTTTGAGGATGCAGCCCTCTCTTTTACTGCTCGTTTCCATTGCTTTACTCTTTCCTCCAGGTTTATCAGCTTTTTTCTGACCCTCCATCACACGTTGGGTTTTTCTGCTCTCTGGCACTGCTATAGATCTTTAGGGTCTATGCAGAGCCTTCATGATGGCCATGGTGCCTTTCTGAATAACACAAAACTACATTGTTTAGAGATAAAGATGAGAGTTAATCCATGTGTCTTTGCACTAGCCTTTGTTCTGCATTGCAAGTTAAAATCCTTATGCAGACCTTGTTCAATCCAGTCTCTAAATTATCTGTTATTTTCTGCTAGTCGTTTCAAGGCTGCTTTTGTTCCTCAGCTCACTACACATTAAGGAGAACTTGGAGAGTTGCTCCCAAACGTAACCCCATCAATATCCCAATTCCAGCTGAGGTCATAGAACCACAGAATGGTTTGGGTTGGAAGGGACCTTAAAGCTCATCCAGCCATGGGCAGGGACACCTCCCACCAGCCCAGGCTGCTCAAAGCCCCATCCAACCTGAGCTTGAACACTGCCAGGGAGGGGGCATCCACAGCTTCCCTGGGCAACCTGGGCCAGGGCCTCAGCACCCTCAGAGTAAGGAATTTCTTCCTAATATCCAGTCTAAATCTCCCCCTTTCCAGTTTAAAAACATTCCACTTCATTCTATCACTACCTGCCCTTGTCAAAAGTCCCTCCCCAGCTTTCCTGTAGCCCCTTCAGGAACTGGAAGGCCACAATAAAGTCCCCCCACAACCTTCTCTTCTCCAGGCTGAACAGCCCCAACTCTCTTAGCCTGTCTTCATAGGGGAAGTGCTCCAGCCCCTGATCATTGGAAGTCCACTCCAATGAGTCCATGACCTCTAGCAAAAGGAGAGGAATTTCTGTTGTTCTCAGGTCCCACTCATAACTGTACCAACCTCCTTTGGGGCTGCAGCCCTTAATTTACGAATCACTTCTTGAGCTGTCCAAAGCAACAGTCTATGGAAGTTACATGTCAGAAATTTAGAAAACAGCTTAACTGATGGTATTTTGTATTAGTTTACTATTATTTAATCAACCAATATTAATGCTGCTGCTTGTGATCTAAAATCATGAAGGGAAAAGGAGGACTATTAGCTGACTGAGCACAGATGTAAAATAAAAGCATCTCTCCAGGTGATTTACAAGCAGAGAGGTGTAGATAGATGAGGTTTACTAAACTTTAGACATGGTGTGGCTTTGAGTGACTCCTTTCTGCTCATGACTTTCTAGGGCTGTTTCTGAATCTGATACAGAAAAATATTTCTCTGTTTAGCTCCTCCACTGCTATCTGAACCCTGTTCCTTGAGACAGTACAGGCAGAAACACCTTTATTTTCTGGTCTTTGTGGGGTAAAAAAATATCTAATGACTGGAGAAGTTAACTGAATGGATGGGAAAGAGAGAGGGGCAAAGGCAGAACCTATTTCTGCCTCTCCTGCCTGGCCTTTGCCTATTCAAGGTGGAAGCTGCTAGGAGGGGGGACATGTCTTCTTATGAGCCACTGGCTCCAAATGGGCTAAATGCATCGATCAGAAGAAATAGTTATCATAGAAAATAATAGAAGAGATAAAAGGTAAGCTACTCTTAACCATATATTAGTTGTAATTTCCCACATTTCTCCTTACCATCTAAAAAAAGTAAAAGAAGTCAACTTTAGCATCACGTCTGAGTCAAGGGCTGATTTTAGCAATAGGGGAACTCTTGAGGGAATGCATTGCCCCAAAATATCCATTGTAGGATGGACCTACTACCATTAAGGCATGTTGTGAATAGCTTGAAGGTGCTCTGAAGGCCTACCACAGAAGGACAATATCCCCCTTCCAGCACATGAAACAATATTATTATGTATTTGTTTATGAGACTTAAAACCAAGAAGATACAGTAAGGTTTTCATGGCTGATAAGCTTTTGGTCTACATATGAATGAGAAAGTACTGCTTTTTGCTGTAATTAATCCATATATGTTATAGGTACCCATTATAAACCAAGGTCAAAGCATCCAAAAAAGACAAAATCACTATCAGGGTAAAATTTCATACTAGAAATGTAGAGAGAGAAGGGGATAAAAAATGTGCACCTTCCTTCTGCTTCAACATAAAAAGGTTTTCCTGAAGAATTTAAAATAGAAAGCCAGAAGAAGTCACTGTAATCTATGAGATATTTGTTAAATTTGATTGTTTTTCCAAGTAGCCCATTCTCAAAGCTGGCTTCTTTTCAACACCGAGAGTCAGCCTCTAACTTCTTGAACTTGCACATCTCCAGCAGCATCAAATGGAATTGTTTCACATGTAATATCGTAAAAAAAACCTGACCCAGGCTGTGTCTAACACCAGTGCTGATATTTTGTGAAAATGTGGTCGCTTTTCAGGTGGTCACTTTGCATAGCACAGAATACCATGAGATCAGGTGGGATGGGAATGAACACACTTGCATGGCCAATAAACGCAAGCTTGTTATTGGATCATGCACCGGCAGCAAGGCAAAACACAAATGTTAGGAAAAAAAAAAAATCAGCACTTACATGATGATGGTTTTCTTGGGCACTTTAGTCTCTTGTTCAGTGACTACAAAGAAAACAGTATGAACAGCATGGGGTTAAAGAAAGGCAAAAGCTGAAATGATTAAATTAACTTCGCTCAGTTAATCAAAATAAACTGGAGTGAGAAGAAAACAACAACCGTACCATCCCATCCATGCTTTCTGTGGTTATTTCCAGCATCATCTTTAGTGTTTCTAACCAGGAATGAGAATTCAGAGTGCTCCCTGAACAGTGAATGATTGAGCCTTGAAATTAATTATTTTGTGGAGAACAATATTGCACAATTTGTTTATTCTACCATGAGATTCTGACATAATTTTTTGGCAGGTCAAAGCTAGAAAACAAGGTCCTTTTTCAGTTAATTTTTTCCCCTATAATAAGGTAGTGGTGGTGTGAGAAACCTGAAAACAGCTCAATCTGGAAAATCCTAGAGAACTGAAATGCTTTAAATTGTGATTTCGCTTCCTAGAAAAAGAGATCCCCCAAACACTGAAATCTTTGTGAACTGGATGTAAGATCCCAGCTGGTAACAAGAAAAACTAAAATCATCCTCATCAGTATAGAAAATCAGCATTTGAAAAAAGCCCTAGGAAACCCAGGAGAGCCCTGTGATACACCTATTAATAGTACTGTATAATTAATACACCTATGTCTACTCCATCTCTTTTTTGCTATAATTTTTCCTCACCCTTGTCCCATAACAAGCTAGAAGCTGTTGATGCATATGAAGATCAAAAGTAATGATTTAATGATTTTGGAAATATTCCTTAAAATTGACTTTTTAAAAAATGAAATAGATACTATTTGAAGAGCTAACAGTGATTTTTGGTGAGTTCTCATCCTATCTGCTGGAATAAAACTAAGACAGTGTTTGAACCAGACTGTCCTGAACACGCTCTGAACTGCTGAAC